CAAGGTTGATTTCTTTGTAGATATAACAGTTGATCAATGATGATAAATTACGACGCATCTTCACCCTCGACGTCCTGAGGCTGCTCACCATCATCACCACCTTCTGAAAGAAAGGAAAGAAAGATATAGATCTATAAGTTACCTCTAACCATGATAAATATCTTAAATAGACTTGTCCATCTTTCAGTCTATATTAAAAGATCTGGGCTTTTTTTCCCTTCTAAAGCAATGGCCGTTATAGGTCTGTTTCCCAAAGACAAACTCTTAAAAATCATGCAGTTTTCCCCAAAAATTGAATTTACATCAAGTTTTTTCTTCCCCTTCTACTTGAAAAGCAAACTGTGCAGACCTTAATAATGTTATTCATTAGACAAGGCAGAAGTAACGTACCCAAAAATGAAAAAACCCCCCATAAAACCCCCCCCCCCTTTTTTCTTTAAAAATAGCGTTAAATAAATTTTTTAAAAATTTTTTGTCTGGTTTGTTTACTTATTTTTTTACCCCTATTTTCTAAAAATACTCTAACCCCTTAATTTTTAAATGGGAACCAAATTTTCTTTAGTTACTCTTCAATTTTTTCCCCTTTATTTTGGGAAAAAAAAAAAAATTTTTTGGGGAAAAAACCTTGTATTTTTTTTAAGGGGAAAGGGGTTTTAAAAAAAAGGAATTTTTTTTTGTTGCTTAAATTAAACCCTGGGCCCATTGAAAACTTTAAATAAAATTTAAAAACTTTAAAATCATAAGCTACCCTAAAATCTTAAACTGTAACTTCAAACTTAATCAAAGTGTCTCAATTGTGGGTTCTAAACAATTTGATGAAACATTTGTTTGACCTAAGAATAATGAATTGTCTCAAGGACTTGAGAGAAATATGTCTCAAGCACTGAGCAGTCACAAAATTTTTGGCTTTTACCTTTTACCTTTAAATCTCTGAACTTGACATTGGGCAGTCCTAAGCAGATCTGATGTATCAATGATACAATTGTCATACCTTGACCAGAAAACATGGCTGGCTAGCTTTACCATAGATTCAACAGATTGCCTCAAAAGATGTGGACACAACGATTGCTAGCTCAAACATTTGAATTTGAGGCTGTGACCTTGATCTTGAAATGGGCATCTGAAATGTGGGTTCTGCATGTTGTGTAAACTAATGGACAGTCGGACAACTAGGAACATAACATAAAACCATCCTTCAGGTACACATTTATATTTATACAAAAGCCCATTTTGGTATCTAAGTAAAATTTCTTTTTTAAATGTTTACCTTCTTGTTGCAAATCTGAAGTCCAGAGAGTCAAGTTATCTCTCAACAGTTGCATAATCAGTGTTGAATCCTTGTAACTCTCTTCAGAAAGGCTATCTAACTGAGCTATTGCTTCATCGAACACCGTCTTTGCCAATTTACAGGCTCTGTCTGGGGAATTCAATATCTCGTAATAGAATACGGAAAAATTTAGAGCGAGGCCCAGGCGGATCGGATGTGTTGGTAATAACTCTTCTGTTGCGAGGTCACTGGCTCTTTTGTACGCCACAAGTGCATTCTCTGCAGCTTCTTTTCTTTCGTTTCCAGTTGTAAACTCGGCTTGATATCTGAAGTAGTCACCTTTCCTGTAATAGAGAATAAAACAATACTGGTTGCAGTTTGCAGGAGGAAAAGTCATTTTAAAATAATACTTTAGACATTTCATTCACAACTAAATCAATTTTCAAAATTACTACATTATAATTTTTCTCAGCACGGGTTTTAATTCTGGTTTTAACACATTTTTTGGTCATATCTCAGCTTTCCTGGATAACTAACCAGAAATTACTAATTTCTCTTCAAGTGACCAACTACTAATTAATCTGACATAATTTCTGTATCAGTGGCCAGCGACAAATGGCCATTATCATCAATGTCCATAATTTATTAACTGTCATGGAGAAATTATAACAGAGATCTAACCAGCCACCCGAATACATATCAGATGCTTTCTCTATGTAGCCAAGTGGGCAAATTGAAAATTACTACAAAATTTTAAAATTTACAAGCTAAACCACTTGAATCAATCATCACTATTTCATTCTTTTAGGTGTCATTTATTGCAAACATTAAAGCAGCACACCTCCAGAGATTTGTGCAATATTTAATGAAAATCTGAAAATTATTCTAGGTAAATGTACAAGCTATGTACAGGCTGCAGGCACTTCCAGTCTACAAAAATTTCCTCTAATCAGTCAAAATATGCAGATGCAGCCCTTATAGCCATTTTAACAGTAGAAATATTGTGATAAAACAGTCAAATCTATCAAATTTTGTAATATTCAAGGTGTCATTGTGCACAGGCATAAAATACCCTTCTTTAAATTATTAAATCTATTCCTTTAAATATTGTTTGCCGATCTGGATGCATGCTGCTTTAATATTTAAATCAACAGTCGTAAAGATAGCTCGTTCATAAATTTTATACCATATCAGTACCGATTTATTTACTATGAATGTTTTGCTGTTCACACTCATTTTTGCATGCTTTCCACAGATTACAATTAAGGAAATTTATGGCTCTTAAAATCTACTTAAAATGCGTTAAAAATAAAAAAAGAACACTGTATGTTTCAGCAGGATAAAACAGTTAAAAAGAGGGTTTGGGGTACATCTAATAGCTAGGTGTAATAAAAATTCAGCTGAAAATAGGAAGAAACATTACCCATGTTTTACAATCAAAAAGAAAAAAAATCTCATTGAAATATATCTTTTACAGCTGTAATTTCTTAATACCGGTAATCTTATTGTGCATCAACTTAAGGGAACTCGAAGAGAAGAATTTCAAAATGATAAAAAAAAGTGAAAGAGCATGAAAAGTGCTCACTTCTTCACTAACATTCTAAAAATACACTTACACAAGTATCAAACATACAGTAGCTCTAGTTTGAGATTCAAACTTTCATACTTTTATTTTCTTAGAATTAAACTAATATCTTCTAAGCTTAACCCTTATGGTGATGAAACCCAAAGTGGTTCTCCTCGACTTCTCCTAAGCCACCAGTATAGAGCCATGCCAATCAACACATTTATACAGCAAGGCTCTCTACTATTGGCAATGCAAATTAATTTTTTCATCTCTATCACTAAAATTGATAATGAACAGTTCCAAAAATTGGAAGCTAGACAAGTCCATTAAAAATATTCAGACAGCTAAGTTTTAGATCCTTTTAAAACAGATTTAGAAGATGAAAAGCATTTGATTTGCTAACTGCATTAGCACAAACTGATCAAAAACCACTCTGTTCTAAGATTATCTACTGGTGACACTTGTCGTAAGTCACTTTAAAGATTAATGTATCTCTGCAAGTGCAAAGGCATTATGTTTAGCCATACTCGGAATTCATTTATGCATAAGGACCTTACACTTTTCCAAGATCATTGTTATAACATTATCATTGAATTATTACTCCTTCAAAGATTGGTTTATGGTTCAATTTGAAACTATCTGATTCAAAGAACTACTAAAACGTAAAATTTGTTTCAGATCGTTTGTCCTATACATTAAAATATTACCTTATCAAGAAAGTGTTTCTGACGTAGGTAATACCGCGACAATATGGAAGATAAATATTAATTTAGTCCTTTGAAATAGCTAACCTTATTTAACCCCTGTCGTTCACAACCACTTTCAACTCGTTCACTTTCAGTTACATTCAAATACAAGGAACGTATGAACAATTCTTGTCAAGTTCAGGTAGTTAAAGGGCAAAATCTGTCTTCCTCCAAATTTTAACAGAGAACATAATTATACTGCTCAAAAAAAAATCTTAACAAATCCCTCCATTATTCTTGTCCACTATATATTATCAAAATTATTCTTTCTATCAACTATCACCATAATTCTTATCACTTTTCATCAAACTTTGTTACATCACAATTTATGGAATTTAAACATTCAGGATTACTTTTTGTGTATTTTTAAATATGCTAAAATCTAATAAGAATTTCTAGACTGTATTTTCTCTGGAATTTATAGAAAATTCCCACCCCACAAAAAAATTTAAGAGGAGCCTAAAACTGTTATTTTATACGGCCATTTAGTTAAGGTAGCAGGAACCTTTGGTTTTATAGACAACTTTGTGATCTGTGGATATCATGCAAAACCGTATTGTAAACAGCGTAACATTACACAAGTAAACATAAAAAAATCAATTATCCAAACAAAATTACGGTCTCTTAATATATATATGACTGCCCTGAATATTACTTAAATGGCAACAATAATAATGAGATTTGTTCATATTTACTTACTGTCAGTGTATGTTATCCTCTCTTTATCACCAAAAATTCTGTCTATTTCTTCCAGTGCATAAAATGTGCTAACGTTTTCATTAAAGATAAATGCATCCCCTACATGTATTACTGTAGGGTAAGCCACACAGTAGTTTGAATTAATCGGGTCATGCATATAAAATTCTTAGCCAGGAGCATGTTCTCTGCCAAAACTTGGCTGAAGGCATTATTGATTACCCTTTTATCCCCCCTCCCAAATTATATTTGTACTACTCGCATGTCAGCATGTACTTAAGGAACTGTAGATTTATTTTCCTCATCTACATTTCAATTTCTTCATTAACTCTTTTTATCTTACAACAATTTGCTATGACATTTTTAACAAAATTGTAAAATAAAGAAACAAAAAAAAAATACAGTTTTTTTCTCCCATTATCCTCAAAGATATGGATAACTAAAATATCACCACATTGTTGGTTCTTTGAATCAGTATTCAAAGTATCAAAATAATAAAATACGAATGAAACAGTGTACAGAGGGTCACTTAAGTCAAGCCATTGACCGTCTAAAATAGCCGAGTGTCTTCTTCATATTAAAGAAATCACAGCCCTCCAGCTAAATTTTAACCTACAGAAATGATGGGTAAATGTTTCTGAATCAGTGACCTTCACTACTTGATCACAGCTAAATTTATAACTAAACTACATACATGTATAAACAAAGTCATGAAGTCTATTGATTCCATTGTACAAATTTTATTTTTGTCAAAAGCCAAATTATGATGGTTAATACATAAACGAGACACCTTAGTGAGAAAGAAAAGATAGAAAAGTTACAATATGTATTCTTACTACAATCAAATTTCATATCAATTACTAGCATGTATTTGTAACCTTTAACCTACTGGAGCCAAAAGTGATGAACATTTACCAGGCTGCTGAACAGGCTTTTTACTGTTGGTAGCTCTGGTTTTTTTTTTCCCTTTCATGATGAAATCCCTTTGCATGGACTGTTCCAGATTCAAAGCAGGACATATCCTTAAAGAATAAGGATGAAATGAAACTTGTGTCTTTCTTTAACCTCCAAAAGCAACCATCTCTATAAAGCATTCCATCTTTCAATCTGGACAAAACCATTCATCATTTTTAAAGGGAAAATATCAAAATATGTATACTAATTGAATATCAAACAGTGCATGCTCATGGTCTGTACTGGTTACACAGGTAGAATGTGTTGCTGCCAGTAGGCTAAAGGTTAAAAATCTTAAGATATTCCTAGAAAATCTTCAACCATGCATTTTAGTGTACAAACTGCTAAATTTGTTCAGTTTTGAAAAAGGTAAAAAAAAGAACACAGGTGTATAAGAACAAAAGGAGAATTAGCGACAGACAGCTTATTAAGAATATCCTTTTCCTTTATCCTTACAAAAAAAAACAAAAAACAATTATCTCATACATTTTATCCAAGAACATTTCATTCTTGTTACAGACACACTTCTGACGAATAATCCAATGACATGCATTGTAAAATAAGATTTCTATTTAATGAAAAACAAACAAATGTCATGAAATGGACTGTGTGTCATTGACAGTAAGTCTAGTTTATTGATCTACATCATTCAAATGTTTTTCATTAATAAACTTCAAATATTAAAATTCATTATATTGATAAATAAAAAATACAATGATGGTGGCTGTCGAAAAAAAAAAAATCACAATTTTATCCCTTTATATCAACAAAAACCTTTTTTTGTTCTAAAAAAAATTAAAAAAGACTTGTAAAGCATATAAACTTTCTTTTAAGCAGACCTATAAATAACATTATGTCCATATAAAGTGAAATATTTAATAAAGCACTATTCTACAGTAAAAATCCAACACTACTACATATATATATATAAATTTATCACATGAGAAAATAAAATAAAAACAGAAGCACATTATTATCCAATATGAACATCATTCAAAGGCAGTTTAAATTTGAGTAAGGGAATTTCCCGCCCTAGTCTTTTTTTTTCATTATAAACTAATTAAGGAATATCAGGCCTAACATTATAAACAAATCTATAAACATTAACCAATCAATAGTATCGTTACAAACTTTAAGTCACTCTGGCCAGTTTTTGTAATACCTATTTTTAGTAAAGGTTTACCTCTGTCATTCTATGATGACGTACCAGTGGCAGCTCACTTGCGTATTAGTTTATACAAATTTATTTTAGTTTGATTGGGTTGGAAGCAGCTTATTGAAACACCTGGAATCAACCAGTACTAAGCAATAATTTCTAAGTTTTTTTTGCTCAAAGAAACATCGACTTGCCCCAGACAAGGTTTGCACCCACGCGGTAAGCAATTAAGATTACTAGTCAGACTGACCAACCACTCGGTCATGCTGCCATTTCAATCTGATTCCGCAACCCTTAAATCAACCAGTCCAAGATCCTTAGTAGAGTAATAGTCAAATGTTCCTTTATTTTTCTTGTATGAAACAAATTTAAGGAGGACTTAAATATTTGTTAAAAAATCAAAAAAAAATTTCCTAAAACAATGCTTCTTATTTTTAATACGATTCATTTTGATGTATTCAAAACAGACACATTTTCCTTTAACGGTGTATTTGGTTGGGTATAATTTTATATTAACAAACTGGATAATCAAAATCAACATAATTTCAAAAGCAGTTGTTGATATCCCAGTATTCTAGCCAAACAGAAACAGTGTCAATGGGAGGAATTAGAAATTCCATCATTATTTATACTGTTAAATTTACAATTAAAAACAAAAATATGATAAATTGATGGGTCATAGTAATTTTTATATAATGGGTATTGACGTTATGGTGAATGGATGAAGTTTTCTATTTTACAATTATGTTAAGCCGTTTGCTAACAAGAACACTTATGATTTTGGGTTCAAATAGACGTCTGACGCAAGACTTTATTTGCATTTTAATGTTAAATTACCACTTAAGCTATCAAAAATGTAGGTGCTTTTGCTTTGAGCAAGTCAATAGATGAAAAACTTGGAAATGAAACTGCTTCAACAGCTTTACATATATACTGAGGGGTACATCAATCCAATAATTAAAACTTTATCTTCTAAACCTATTGGGTTCTAACAAATAACATATTCCATTATTATCTGATTTCGATATAAGTACCAATTTCTGAAAAATCATGGTTGGAAATTTTCACATATCAAATAGTGTTAAAAACACAGATTACAGTAATACCTAAAACTTAACAATCAAAATCCAGTCATTCTTACAAATACAAGAAAATACTCTTTAAAAAAAAACATATATCCATTTGTTAATAATTTTAAAATATGAATATAGTTCAGAAAAACATCACAAACATCAAAATCGGATATACAACACAAATCCTACAAGTCAATGATAATACAAAGCCATATCCCATTTTACTGTCACTAGATCAATATTTTGTAAAGTTATATAAATAAATTAGTGATCAAATACTCTCTTTACACAGTAATAAGTTTACATTAAAATATCATTATTGAATAAAGTCTCTGCTCCTTCTATGTTCATTTTCAGGGTGGATATTACATTTGATATATGACAATAGTTCATTAGGAGGCATCCTCTCCCTCTATGTCTTGTACTTCTTCTTTTTGTTCATCTGAAATTAAAAATAAATGATCTACTTAAGTATCATACCTTCATTACGAATTCTATATCATTCAGTTATAAAGTTGGTATTGTTATCAAAATGTATTTTCAAAGGAAAATGGTTAAAATGCCATTTGTTTGGTGTATAATGCTGTTATTAAGTCTTTTTGGCCGTATCATAGTGGTCATTCTATCTTATTTTTGGCCGTGTCATAGTGGTCATTCTATCTTACAGACAGTCCTGTATAAATGACCAGTACCTGCTATTTTTCCCACATGTCACAGGCTACTAATCCCACATAAATCTGCATCTGTGGTGAGAGAAATAGCTCTGAGACTACATCAGCTGTTATGGTTGCTAAAGGATCGGAATTGCAACTTTTTCGGGCCACTAAGGACTCATTACCATGTATAACTAACCTACCAGCTTCTTATTAGGTTTAGCATGGAATCGGCATGGTAAAGGTAATATGGCGACTTTCCAGCTTAACTGGGGGAGGAAGACCTCAGGTGCCCTCGTTACATTATTTCAGGCAAAAACGGGCACCTGGGTAGAACCACCGATGTTCAGTAAGCTAGCTGTAAAGCCTCGTATCAAAGAATCCAAAGATGCTAGTCCGGCTCTTAACATACAGCGGTGAGAGGCGGTGGTTTGAAGTGAACAACCTTAACCACTCGGCCACAGATGCCCAAGAAAGCTTCTTGTTCTTTTTCCAAAAAAACACCCTTCATTTTAGGAATGAAACATCATTTTTAAATTCATAATCGTCCAACATACCTAAATTATATTTGATACAAATTTTTTTAAACATGCAATATATTGCCATAAGATCCATTTTAAACTTTTTGAACTCACCATCAGCCATATCTGAAGTCCAAAGAGTTAAGTTATCTCTCAACAGTTGCATGATAAGTGTTGAATCTTTATAACTTTCTTCAGCTAGTTCATCTAATTTAGCTATTGCATCATCAAATGCTTCTTTTGCCAATCGACATGCTCTGTCTGGGGAATTCAATATCTCATAATAGAACACAGAGAAATTGAGAGCTAGACCTAATCTTATAGGGTGAGTGGCATCTAGACCTTCGGTGGCTTCCTTGCTTGCTAATCTGTATGCCTTTAGGGCATCCTCAGCAGCTTGCTTTCTTTCCTCGCCAGTGGCAAATTCAGCCTTGTATCTGTGGTAATCACCTTGCCTAAAATAAAAGCACTGCAAATCAAATCTCTGCCAAGTAGAGAAATACATGTATAGCACACCAAAACAATATACAGGTTTTGTGAAATATTTAATCTTTTGGTTACATAACATTCTCTATGATTCAATATAAAAATTTATTTTTCCTTATTTCACCAACATAACATTAACTGTCATCTGGCAACATTCTTGCTTTACTGAAATTGATTTATTGCTTAATCTCCCAAGTATCTTGGTAAAACATGAAGATTTTCTTGTTGCTGTGCAAAAACAGACTACAAAAAACCCTCTATTCATACTTTAAGCAAAGGGGGGCAACCTTTAAGTCTACAATCTTCAATATTTTGCCAAATCAACAGAAAAAGAGCCTCAGTTCGTGTATCTATTGCCTATATTTCACCAAGAAAGCGTGTCTCGGAACCGGCGTATGCATTATCATTTCTTACTTGTGTTTATAACCACATCAAGATTTTATTTCACTTAATTTATTTCTACCTTTAAACCACTTTTCTCTCTCGCTCCAACATTTAACTTAGAAATGTGTTAACAGTGTCTCTTAAATTGGTATTTACATCAACAAGAAAGGTGCTTACACAAGCTATAAAAGCACCAATCTTTCAAAACTTTTACCCTGCTGGGTTTGGCAAGTGATGTGCCTTTGCCACCAGTATAGAGCCAGGCCAGCCTACACATCTGTGCAGTCTGGCCAGACTCTATACTGGCAGAAACTGAACATTTGTGTTTTGAGAATAAAATCACTGAAACTTTGAATGGACTGTTCCAAATTCATAAGTTATGCAAAGGGTTATCACTAGACCAGATATCGCATTGACAAACTGTTTATAAATTTGAGATATAATCACTCTAGGAAGGCACTGACACAAAATGTCAAGTAAATAAAAGCTGTTTAACCAATGAAAATTCTTTTCACAGAAGGATATAACTGGACCAAGGTAACCATGACTGATGACCCTTGAAACTCTCAGTCGTGAAAACTGCTTTTTTTTTTATAGATTTCTACGGAGATGCAAGTCTGTTATCTGTAATTGCATGACAAATGGAGAGGACTTAATTTTTACTTTTCTTTAGTTTTATCATTTGTGCTTTTGATCTCTAAACTTCAGTTGTTTTCTATCAAAAAGTCTTATTCCTATGCATTTACAGAAAATTCCAAATATCATTTGGCAAATTTGGAGAAGATTATTAACCAGTCTTGCCCCCCTTGCCCACCCCCTCCGTTCACCTATGAAATAGATAGCAAACATATAGGTAGATCAACTCACAATGAAGAAAAAAAATTAAAATTAAATAAAGTATTACCTTTTCATGAAGATGAATTCAGTCATTACTGATATACTTAGTCTTCATGGAAACATTTCTATTCAGTATTTTCATTCACTTTTTTAACAAAATGAAAGAAATTTCATTCCTTCATTTTTTATCTTGGCTATTGCTATCCCATTTGGTTGATAATTTTTTATTAATTTCTGCAACATGTCTTAAAAGTTTTTTTAAATTCCGCAAGGAAAACTGTTGAACGAAAACAAGGAGCAAACACCGGTATCCGTGACCCGCGTTCAATGTGTTAATTGGCAAGTTTTTACCCCCTACTAATTAACTGGACTATTCTTATATAAGCTATGAAAAAGTTTTATTCATTGAATTTGTATAATAAATTCAGAGGGTAGCAAATAAATCACTGCAATATTTAATGCAAGAAATGGTATATGGCAAACATTGTTCACTAATTACAAGACTTCATATTTCAACTACCCTCCACTTTCTCAATAAAATTTGCATTGCATTAATTAATTATACAAATTACAAGTTGATCTTTCTGTTTAGCAAGTTCAAAGCAATGTGCAATAAAGCTTCTTAAAATGGAAATAATTTCATGTGTATTATTTTTAAACTTATTCATCATTCTCCTAAACTATGTGCGTATATTATCTCTCAATTTGATCTTTTTCATCCTTAACCTAATAATGGAAGCTCATCCATCACCCCATCCTCCCACCTCCACATCAAAAAAGGCCATTGTTCTTGTTGAAATAGCTAAATACATTTGCACGGGGAAATATTTTAGAATAAGATACCAAATTGTCAGTTTAGAGAAAACATCATGATACATTAAGGAAATATTCAAAAATGTGCATACAAGGGTAAAATGAAAAGTATGTCCAATAGACAAGAGTTCATTGTTTGTTACTTTGATCATTTAAAGTACTTTTGAACTTAATTAACTACAATTTAATCTATATTCAGATTGTTAAAAGAAACTTCCAGCTGTATCCAAGGAAAGTTTCAACAAAAGTGCTCTTAAATTCAAAGAAAATGCATACAAAGTACTAGCTATAATATAAAATGACTACACAGTACCTATCACTTAAATTATTCTCTCTTTTTTTTTACACAGTTTATCTGAAATCACAGGCAATCACCTATTTTTCAGTTCCCATCCAGTTCAAAAGATCACATCAACAGGCATGAACAAACTACTGGAATACAAATACCATATGTGCAGTTCAAGTAAGGGAACATCTTATCATATATACAAATTCACCATCTACAATACTGGTTAATTTGTGAAAAAACAAATATATAAATTAGGGATAACCAATAAAACAAACTGATGGTATTGTACTACAGTGGTAACAGTAACTGTGACAGTAAACTTCTATGTCTAGTGCAAATGTTAACTTACATTTTATAATAAAATACTTTGGATTCTCCTGTTGTGGCGGATTGTATTAAGTATTTCTCGAGAATGTCCAATACATCTTTACAGATATCCTTCAACTCTTTCTCAACCTGCAATATGGAATATCAAAAGTAATTTAAACTGACCAAAAGAAAACAACAACAACAAACAAACAAAAACTTGAACTACAAAATATGATTACAATTTTAAGATTCAAAATAGAGAAGTATAGAAAAAAAATCCTAGTAATTTTTTTTTTTTAAATTAATTCCTAGATAAACAGTTAACTGCATAATATTTTACGATTATAATATGATTATGTTTATGTGATTTTGGCAAACCTAAATACTATAATGACTACTTTAGAATCAACAGTTTTGTAGCTAATCATAATGTTAAGGTGAATACTTTCATGTTTCAAACAAAAATTGAGATGCTGGGCCATAATGTGGGGCTTTCAAAGCTTCATTCCTTTAGGAAGAACACTGTATGTATCCATGGTCATAATTTCATGCACACGCAATGCATAGATAAAATAATAGCTCGGTATCATCACATGGAAGAATTCAAATTATACAAAAGAATTTAACCATTGATACTACCAAGTTAGTTCCTTGGACCGGACTATATAATATGATATTCTAATTTATGCTTGTACAAGTAAAATTTGACTGATATAAAAGATAAAATAATTCATTACTGTTTCTCTGTATTCTTTAATAAGTTGTACGTTTCCTTTAGTGTCTTTTTTATCCTCTTCCTTTTGTTCCAAACTGCTAAGAATTCTCCAAGATGCACGTCTAGCTCCTATAACATTTTTGTATGCTACTGACAACAAATTCCTCTCTTCTACAGAAAGTTCTTGTTCTGACTGGGCAACATTTTTCATACTGGTTACCATTTCTAAATAAACACAAAACAAAACCATTAATTAGCAAGTTTATTGTCTACAGATATTCACTTTTGGGAAAAATATCTTGAAAGAAATACAACACAAGAATAGGATTTCAGCCTTTACCTCTAGTTTTACTGAGCCATCATCAATTAATATCATTGATTTATCACTTACCCAAAATCGAAATGGTGCTATATATAGCATTCCAGCACACAAAGTAAAAATATATTAGGGCCACAGACAATTCACAAGACTGGAAACATTGTTAGAAATGGGGTAAAGCAGGTGTGCCCCATTTGCAGGGCAGAGATTAAGCATAGAATTTACCAGTTGACTGTTCCTCATTGAGGGACCTTTACCAGAGAGATGGAGACTAGGGTATTTCCAGTTCTCTGTGGTTCACAGTATAAAAACAAGTTTACTTCCTGCAAATAAGGTACAACAACAGTGTTTATTTTAGGAGGGGGTGGGGGTTTTACTCAATATTTTCGAGAATTCCCCCCTATTTTTCCAGAGGCAGGGACAATTTTACATAGAGAAAGAAGGGAAAAGATAAAGTTAAAACAAATGTAATAAATTCTTACTTTACAATAAAAATCTCCTGTTTTTCAAATCCTTGAATAAACACTGTACACGTTAAGATATATAGGCTCCCAAGTTAGGTACAGTGATCGAAAGTAACATGCGCTTTTACTCAAGTCAGGGTACACATTGAATTGAAATAGACTCACAAGACAGGGTACAGTGAATTTGTTTATATACTGTGAGGTTGGCTATTCTCTGTGGTTGTAAGCAACATATAAAATTTACAAATGAGCAATATTCTGGTAGGAATTACCAGCGTTTTAAATCATGTAATTTCATTTTGATGTCTTCTAGTCAGATGGGTGTGGGCATGCATCATCTATGTCAGGATCAGTTTAAATTTGGGATTGTTAGAAGATAGAATATCTGGAAATTTCACTCATTGAAGGGCAAAAAAAAGAAAATATGTGTAGAAAATGAATTTAATTTCAGTGTATTCTTAGAAAAATGCTGATGATTTCATAAAGAGTTCAAGTTCAAAGTAATTATGATTCATTTTGACGGTAGAATATTATTCAAAATGGCGTCCACCTGTCAAATATCCATGGACACAGTTCCGCATTCTTGTATACAACAAAATATCCACAATATTTACTTGCATTACAATTGTTACAATAAACAGGAATCACTGTTATTGTTATGCCACTAATATTCACCTACTTTTAATGTCATAGTTGAAATAATATCTATTTTCTGCCAATCCCTGAAAATAGTAAAGGCCTTATTTATGCCAAAATCTTACCATCGTATCTTTCGGCTTGTTCTGCTAGCTTAGCCTGGTAAACGCTGTCTTCTCTGTCGACGTGGTTACTCATTTTTATTTTGTCAGAAGACTTGGATTAAGACGGATACAGATATTTTTTTAGAGCCCACAAAATGGCTACTACCGCCAAAGACAGAAAGTAGTTCCGGTGCATAAACATGAAACTAATCAATGCGCGATATGTACACCGGTCACATATCGTGTTGGGTTATTTTGGGGAAATGTTTTATCCTGAATTAGCGTTAGACTAATAGTTTCTCGTTATCATTTAGTAATAGTGCGTCTTTTCATTTTTATTTGAAATGATTTGCAATATTTTAGTTATTTTTGCACTTTCTTTGAATAAAGTCAATACTGAAAGGCAAGTCTAAACATTTCTCGCATACCAGAGGTCATGTATTAAAAGTTGCATGTCAGGTTAAACCCAAGGAAAGTTCATTATTGAATCTGAGAAATGAAGAAAAGGAAAGAAAGAAAAACGAATGCACAAAATCAATTAATCAATTAATTTTATTCACCACATATAGAAATCTATATTTAAGCAATTAAATAAATTAATTAATCAATAAATTGTCGTTTATTCTAAATATAGATAGTCCTATTATTATATATACATTTATGATAAATACTAATTATTATTAATTGAGCATGCGGATGTAGATCTATCTGTGCACATATTTCATGGCTACTAATATCGTGACTCATTTATAATAACTCAATATACATGTACACTTTATTAATATGAAAATGTGTAGGCATGCAACGAGTACAAAATTTTTATAAAACTTGTTCATGAACGTATTTATATTGATTACTGTTTTGAATATGACTGTTAATTTTATAGAACATTTGTTTAATTGACATAACATTGTACGTTATATTTAAGCGCTGATCAATACGTACACTAGCTATATATATAGATCTACTAGCTATCATCTTATGATTTTTTTTCAACATTATTGAAAGTAATCTTCTTCGCTTCTAGTACAACTCTTTAATTCATCATCAACACCATCATTTCTTCTTCTTCTTTTTTCTTCTTCTTCTTCTTCTTCTCTTCTTCTTCTTCTTCTTCTTCTTCTTCTATGAAATTTCACCACTCACTACCCACTATACCCACAAACTGGGAGACAATTATGTACGAAGTATTGTTCAATTTTTGAAAGATTTATTTCCCTTCTTTGGTGTGTTGACGTGCCTTTAATAATGACTATGCTGAGGGTGATGCTGACTTTTCATACCATCCACTTATAGCTATATTGCTTTTGATTTGAACTAGGTTTTCTCTGGCATAACTCGTCGGGAATATATATATAACCAGTATTAGCTAGGTTGGTGAATATTGGCGGGCGGATGCATGGTTGGGCATAAACATTTTTAACACGCGCAGCTCCTCTTCTCCAATTTGCATAAGGATGGTCATCGGAATTTGTGATTTGATCTTATGATGATTATTTGATGAATTGTTGTAGCCGTTAGCAAGTTTTTTCCCATATTTAATGTGGGCTGAAAACAAGCAGCTTTGAAACGATTTTCTGTCAGCTTTCTTCAGATACTTACTAGTATTATTAAACTATTTTTAATATAAATATTAAGTGTGAGCTTAGTTTGCTTTTAATACATGTATATCCTGATAATGTTCGACAAAACGTATGTGTGTGTCTGTGTGTGTGCTTAATTAATGGTTTGTGGTTACTTGCAACACTGGAAAAAAAACCAACACAAAACATAGTAACAAATAAACAAAACAAAAAAAAAACAAACGGACGGACGGACAAAAGATGAGGAGAACTCCTTTACGACATGACAAAGTAGGTCCCAGAAAAAGCCTATATCAAGAGCAATACGGCACAAGAATCGACCCGAAAAGTCAATATTATTTATGTTAAAAATTTCATTTTCTGCACATTTTGAGACATTCTTAATTGTGACATTCTTGCCAAAAGATCATAAAGGCGTAATTATACAAAATTTACTCACATTTCTATATTTTATGATAGCTGATTTAGGGACACAGAGAAACAAAATTATTTTGAAATTTACCATTCCGTTGTTTTGTTTCAATCTTTTGTTAATATGATATTTGCATAATCGTCAATATTGCATACTCTTGCATAAAAAAAAATTGCGGACGCAAGTATACAATAACGCACAGCTTTGATTGTATTAACGGATAAGAAAACATGCACTAACGGATAAAATCACGCGAGCAAGCGACGTTTTTGCGTGTTTTTTCAAGATGCCATGTAAAAATAACTTACTACATTGACGGCCACGGTAATTTCATTTTCAAAACATTTTTGGCCAATGACATTACATCAGCGCGTGAAAAGTATGAAATAAAGAAAGAACGAATTACCGGATAAGACGCATCCTTTTATGCAAGAATAGCGTTTTAAATCAAACCAGTACCGGTTAATACGCAAGCTAATTACTTCACTATCGATGTAAATACCTTTTTTAACTAAAGCTACATAAGATACAAATAATATTAAAGTTTATTCAAATTTAACCCTTATCACTCATATCCGGAAATTTTCAAAAATATGTATCCAGTAATGAGCAGTGCAGACCACGATCACACCGCACGGATGTGCCGGCTAATCTTGGTCTGCATTGGTCGCATAGGTATATGTTGGCTAATCTTGGTCTGCATTGGTCGCATGGATATATGTTTGACTAATCTTGGTCTGCATTGGTATATGTTTGGCTAATCTTTGTATATGTTTGGCTAATCTTTGTCTGCATTGGTATATGTTTGGCTAATCTTGGTCTGTATTGGTCACATGGGTATATGTTGCCGCTAGGAGGCAAAGGGTTAACACAACATTTCAGTTTCCTTTCAGCATTCTGTGTACCAGTACTTGAGGTGTTTTTTCATGTCCAGAGGTTATTGTCACTCTTTCAATATATTTTATGAACAAAGGTTGAATGATTGTCACTCACCATGGGCTCCAACCCAGTAACCCTGGCATTGTAGACCTAACACTCTACCTGTTGAGCAGAGCTGTTCTGCTGCTATTGGAATTAAGGATCACAATCTTGCACAAGCATCCACAATAAAAATTCAAGGTCAAAATGCCAAGGCACAAAATACGTTTTTAAATTCTGCCATACATAAGCTGGCTTATAGACACAACAAAATAAATACAAATTCTATTTTTAAAACTTTTTATTATCTGGTATAAAAAAGAATAAAATATAACAAAATGAAATTTTATCACAAAAGACAACCTCAAATCATGTAAATTCAATACTTGATAGAAACACCTTTGGATTTCAATAATGCTGCAACATTGGCCATTACACATCAATCTTTGGTAAAACATAATCAGTTATACAAAATAAATTATAATACAAAAAAGTACTCAAAAACATATGAAACCTCTCAATAACCAGTATAATGAATATTGTACATTAAGCAAGCCTCTCAACTATCTGTAATATGAACATTGTACATTAATTTAAGCCTCTGTATGGATATTGTACATTAAGCCTCTCAATAACCTTTTAATATGTACATTAATCCTTTCAATAACCTGTTTTATGAATACTGTATATTAACCTGCTCAAAAACCTGTAACATGGATATTGTACATTAAGCCTCTCAATAACCTGTACAATGAATATTGTACATTAAGCCCTTCAATAACCTGTAACATGGATATTGTACATAAAACCTCTTAATAACCTGTACAATGAATATTGTACATTAAGCCTCTCAATAACCTGTTATATGTATATTGTACATTAAGTCTCTCAATAACATGTAATATGGATGTTGTACATTAATCCTTTCAATAACCTGTACTATAGATATTGTAATAAAGCCTCTCAATAATCTGTAACATGCATGTTGTACACTAAGCCTCTCAATAACTTGTTTTTATGAAAATTGAATATACAGCCTCTCAATAACCTGTAACATGGATATTGTACATAAAGCCTCTCAATAACATGTATTTTGAATATTGTACATTAAGTCTCTCAATAACCTGTAATATGGATATTGTACATAAAGCCTCTCAATAACCTGTGACATGGATATTGTACATAAAACCTCTTAATAACCTGTACAATGAATATTGTACATTAAGCCTCTCAATAACCTGTTATATGTATATTGTACATTAACTCTCAATAACCTGTAATATGGATGTTGTACATTAAGTCTCTCAATAACCTGTAATAAGGATATTGTACATTAAGCCCTTCAATAACCTGTAACATGGATATTGTACATAAAACCTCATAATAACCTGTACAACGAATATTGTACATTAAGTCTCTCAATAACCTGTAATATGGATATTGTACATAAAGATCTCAATAACCTGTACAATGAATGTTGTACATTAAGCCCTTCAATAACCTGTAACATGGATATTGTACATAAAGCCTCTCAATAACCTGTACAATGAATATTGTACATTAAGCCCTTCAATAACCTGTAACATGGATATTGTACATAAAGCCTCTTAATAACCTGTACAATGAATGTTGTACATTAAGCCCTTCAATAACCTGTAACATGGATATTGTACATAAAGCCTCTCAATAACCTGTACAATGAATATTGTACATTAAGCCCTTCAATAACCTGTAACATGGATATTGTACATAAAGCTTCTTAATAACCTGTACAATGAATGTTGTACATTAAGCCCTTCAATAACCTGTAACATGGATATTGTACATAAAGCCTCTCCATAACCTGTACAATGAATATTGTACATTAAGCCCTTCAATAACCTGTAACATGGATATTGTACATAAAGCCTCTTAATAACCTGTACAATGTATATTGTACATCAAGCCTCTCAATAACTTGTATTATGAATATTGTACATAAAGCCTCAAAATAACATGTTTTATGAAAATTGTACATAAAGCCACTCAATAACATTTATCTTTCTATATCAATTATTGACAACCAATCATTGCTTTTAAATTGTACCAAATGACCATCAGATATTGGATGCAGTAGTGTCCAGATATATTCAGTATTTTATAGCAATGAATATTAAATAACCTATAAATAATGACATTGTACACAAAGTCTAACACAACAGTCTATTACAGCATCTATTTCACATATTCAACAGGGACATCTATTAAACATATTAAATAGGGACAAAGAATTGATGAGTAAGCAGAAATGATAACCCCTAAAATTTGTCGCACAGATAGAAACAAAATTAAGTCTGATAACTAATATGTACATGGGATAATTGGAATGTTTTGATTAAGTAAACAAATAAAAACAATAACAATGTATAAAACAAGAGCTGTCTGTAGGAAAACACACTTCACTATTCTCAATGTATAACAGTAAAACAATAGCCTTAATATTATAGGAATTAACAAAGATATTGACAAAGAATTTTGTAAGTTCACAAAGGGCTTTATTTCATTGGAAATCTAAGCCAGAGTTATAGATCTTTGAAAGTGACTTGAATATAATTCCAAAACCTTGGATCAATTTTCAGTTCACAAAGGACCATAAATCAATCAAAATCCATGTCAGAATTATTGGCCTTAGACAGTGACCTCCAATTATGATCAAAAAGACATGTATTAAGATTCAAGTGCATACCTTCAAGTGTCAAAGATTGATGCTGCATGCAAAACTTAAACAAAACTTCAAAAAAGGACCATAATTCTGTCAAAATCCAGAAGAGTTATGTGCCTTGGAAAGTGACCTCAAATTATGATCCTGAAGGCATGTTTTAGGTTCCAAAAGAATATGTTTAGTAGTTCTGAAGATTAATGTTGCATACCAATTGTTTTAAGGAATTTTCTATTGACATGTACACAAAAGGCAATAATTCTGTATATGCTAGAGTTATGGGACTTGGATTGCAAGCACCTCCTGTTATGATATCAAAGAACTGTGAGGAACTACAAGCAAATATCTATAGTGATTAAAGATCCTGTAACTCATTTTTTATGGTTTTATATCATAAATATGATGCTCATATGAAAATTTATCAATATTGTAAGTTCCAAAAAGCATTACTTGTAAAGATATTACCAAATTTACATTTCATGTTAATAAAGGGAGATAATAACAATTTTTTTCTATAAATCTAAGTCAAATTTTTCAATTTAAGAAATGAATGCATATATTTTAATGATTACATGTACATGTAATATGTACAAATATTTGCAGTACATATTTTACATATTCTTAAATGTTTGAAAATTGTTTTAGAAGAATAATTATATACATATATAAAATTTCACTTAAGTGTGGTAACAACCTTAATTTACAACATACAGGATCTTTAATGAGATATGATGTTGTACAACAAGTTGCATATATAACTTAAACCCATGAGTTACTCTGACGCTTACATGGATGCACAGGTGACTAGGATTACTCTATTTTTCTCCGAAAAGTTGAGGTAAAACACACTTTACAAACACAACTTAGTGTCCTGCTTTATTTGTCATCCAATGAAAATGCTGTATTTCTTAAAAATTATGTGTGTAAATTTTCATAGAATAACAAAAGTCGATACTATATCGAATTATGTTCAAAGTTGCCTTCTATTTTTCATAGTACTTCATCAAACCGTGACGTCAATAAGTGAATAATAATGAGGCCAAATAAAACTTGACACTAACTATGTTAGTATTCATCCGTATATGTTCTACAGAAATTAGAAATATTCTTCAGTGGCTATCACTCCCGTCGAAGTTTCTAATTTCCGTTGAACAGCAAGGATGAACACTAACATATACATGTAAATAACAAGAACCGGTTGAACCGGGTGATGCTCCCCGAGAAGGTTCTGGACACAGGAAAGTATAAAAAAAGTGAACAAAGGGCAAAAACTCCAAAATTAGGCAAAGCAGAGTTATGGTTTTTTTTGCACTGCACTTCTATTCAATGAGATCTATCTATCTATAAAGTTTCCTGATGATATCAGAGTTATGTCCCGGGTAAAAGTCAAAGTGTAAAAATGAACAAAGAGCAATAACTCCAAAAATTAGACCAGGCTTTGTTAAGGTTCTAAAGCATTGCAATTCTATCCAATTTTATCTAGCTACCTACAAAGTTTCATGTTGATATCTCTAACAGTTTTAAAGTATTGTCCAGGACAAAAGTCAAAAAGTAAAAATAAACAAAGGGCAATTACTCCAAAATAAGGCAAGGCAGAGTAATGATTCTTAAGCACTGCACTTCCACCCAATGAGACCTATCTATCTACAAAGTTTCATGTTGATATCTCATATAATTTTAGAGTAATGTCCCAGACAAAGTTCAAAGTGTCAAAATGAACAAAGGGCAATAACTCCAAAAGTAGGCAAGGCAGAGTTACGGTTCTTGTGCACTGCACACCTTCTACATGAGATCTATCTACCTACAAAGTTTCATGTTGATACCTCTTATACTTTTAGAGTTATGTCCCGGACAAAGTTCAAAGTGTAAAATAAACAAAGGGGGATAATTCAAAAATAAGGCAAGGCAGAGTTACAGTTCTTGTGCACTGCACACCTACTCAATGAGATCTATCTACCTACAAAGTTTCATGTTGATACCTCTTATACTTTTAGAGTTATGTCCCGGACAAATTTCAAATGGTAAAATAAACAAAGGGGGGTAATTCAAAAATAAGACAAGGCACAGTTACGGTTCTTGTGCACTGCACACCTACTCAATGAGATCTATCTACCTACAAAGTTTCATGTTGATACCTCTTATACTTTTAGAGTTATGTCCCGGACAAATTTCAAAGTGTAAACAAGAAACATGGCAATGCCATGAAACCAGGTTTTCAATTATCACCATTGTAGATAAATATGTTGTATTTGAAATACAAATACAAGCAACAAACAATGTAACTATGTGCAATGTAAAACATGAATAATGTAGGAGGAATTGCCACTGAAGAAGTGTTCACTATAATATTATGTATAAGGAAAAAAACAAAGGGCCATAATTAGGTCAAAAACTATCCAATCACAAAACCCCGACAATATGTGCCAGGGTGCTTGATGACAAAGCTTCTTTGAAAGTTTTGAACCAAAATCCGTTGAGGAAATGTAGGACGAGTTCAGCACAGAAGAATTTGTTCACTATAATTATATTGATAAATTCTGTATAAATGAAAACAAGTTACAAAGTAGGACATAAAAATATACATATCTTTTTTTAAATTACCTCCAAAATGATATGACTTTGAACTGCCAAATCAAGTTAAAATCATGTAAACAGGATTTTCCAATGTTAATGTCACTGTGACCTTGACCTTGGAGCCAGCCATGCGGAACATGCGTTCTGCACGTCATCTTGATTGTGGTAAACATTGTCTGAAGTTTCATCAAAAATTTTCAAAGGGTTGAAGAGTTACAGAGCTGACAGGAATTTTCAATGTTAATGTCACTGTGACCTTGAACCGGGAGCCAGCCATGCGGAACATGCGTTCTGCACTCATCTTGATGTTGTAAACATTTGTCTGAAGTTTCATCAAAATTCTTCAAAGGGTTGAAGAGTTACAGAGCGGACAGGATTTTCAATGTTAATGTCACTGTGACCTTGACCTTGGAGCCAGCCATGCGGAACATGCATTCTGCACGTCATCTTGATGTGGTAAACATTTGTCTGAAGTTTCATCAAAATTCTTCAAAGGGTTGAAGAGTTACAGAGCGGACACAATTTCGTTTGACGCCCGCCCCGCCCATCCGCCAATGTCACTGTGACCTTGACCTTGGAGCCAGCCATGCGGAACATGCGTTCTGCACGTCATCTTGATGTGGTAAACATTTGTCTGAAGTTTCATCAAAATTCTTCAAAGGGTTGAAGAGTTACAGAGCGGACAGGATTTTCAATGTTAATGTCACTGTGACCTTGACCTTGGAGCCAGCCATGCGGAACATGCGTTCTGCACGTCATCTTGATGTGGTAAACATTTGTCTGAAGTTTCATCAAAATTCTTCAAAGGGTTGAAGAGTTACAGAGCAGACAGGA